TAGATTGCTGGGTTTTATCTGAATCCCCCCATACCCCTCTATGCCACCCAACCCCAGGGCGGAACCCTCCAAGTTTTGTTTTGTTTGCACTTGAAACCAGCATTTGAGCCCATGACATCAGCTATTCTGCTGGATAGTGGAGCAGTGCTATTAGGTTAGGATAAATTATATTTGTAAACCCATCCAACTCTAGAGCTCAGAAAACCATTTCCTTCACATTGGACTAATTCCATCAGAGAACCACTGTTCCTCTTGCAGAAGCAGAGGAAGGAGTGATAAAGCAGCGGCTCTGAGAAGAGTGGGGATATTCTGGGACGCTATCTGTGTAGAATAAACAGACAGAAATTCAGAGGACAGCAACCTCTTCCTATTGACCATCCATTGTTTCTGCTCCCCAGCATCCACCTGTACTTCTAGAACAATCTCTCCGCTGACCTTAGCAAACAAGCCTTTCCCCTCAAGTCCCTGTGCTACAGCAAAATAAGGCCTGGCATTTTCCAGGATTCTGGATGTGATTCCTGGGTGGCATCTCATCACAGTCAATGAGACAGAGGAGATTTTTTTCTCAAACTCTTTAGGGAAGGGCCTTGTCCTCATTAATCTCCCATCAACCCCACCCTGAATTCTTGAGAAGAGAAAATTAGCCCTGAGGAAGTAAAAGCTAACTCTTGTGATAAATATCCACATTCTTCCTGGTGTTATTAAGGTGACATGAACAAGAAGCAGGAATGGACAGGTGAAGGGATGGTAATGACTACAGGAACGCAGCCCTGCCTGCTCTTTATTTGTCATGATGTACTAGACTTCCAGTTTCTAGCTTCAAATACCATCACCTCATGGCTGACTTGGAAATAAGGCAGAAGGGGCTATGCCAACCCTCACCTGCATGCACAGCCTCACCACCTCCAACTGGCTACTGTAGTTTTCTTTAACTCATTCTTATTAAATTGCTTTCTCTCTACTGGATGGATGCTACGAATGGAAGGTTCATCTTCCAAAAGTGCTGTTTTGTGCACTGGTTATCCCCCTTCACTAGTACCTCAACCCCTAAAAAGTAGCCAGTTACACCTGTACTTGGCTGGACCCTGAGATTATCCACTTGTTTCTCCACTTTCATCTCCCTCTGTTGCCCTTCAAGGGTCTGCCCAGTCCAAGTTGTTGGGCCATTTTCTTTTGGACACAAATCAAATCCCCCCACTTCTCTCTCAGTTTGCTTCTTCTGCCCTTTTTTAAGGCTAAGCTCAAATCTTTTCTTTGGAAGGCTTCTCCAAACTTCACAGTCTCTAGGGCTCTCTTTAAGACCAAGTGCCTCTCTACACCCCGACTGGCACTTGGTGTGCATAGATCCCCATCTTTTGTGTAGAGACTGTGTCCTGAGCTGTGCTATCACCAGGACAATAGAGGCTCAGACTTTCATTCTGGGGAAACTTTAGTGTGTAGCAACAATTCTGTCATATGCAGTAGCAGTAATGGTAATGTTAGTAATAGTCCATATTATTGAACTCTTACTATGTATAAGACACTGTCCTGAGTTGGATATGGTGTATCTTATTTATCTCACAATAACTCATATGATGAAGATATTATCCAGAATAGGACTAATTAAATTCAATTATGAATATGACTTTAATTATGGAAAAGCTAAACAGAAAGAACTCCCTTAAGGCAGCAAGTTAATATTTTTTTCCTAACTTTTCTTACATAAGAAGTGATGTGAAAAGGGCCACTGCACAGAGTTGAATCAACTTGGTCAGCTCAGGTATCCCAGATGCCTCCCCGACCCTGGGCCGAGCATCTAAGCATTAAGAGTACCTACGTGGGAGGTGCTCTGAGATGTCATAAAACACTAGAGCTGAAGAAAATAGTCTACCTTTAAGACTAAAAAACTAATGTTTACATCCTTCTTATCAGGGCTGTTTGGTGGACAAAAGCAGGCACCCAGAGGGGTTTTATGCAGTAGCCAAATGGAGAAATACTTAAATCTTTTTAAAGAATTTCCCATTAAGTAGGAACCAGACTATTACCATATGTGACAATTAGTCAAATCACCAGAATAGCACTGATGATCTTTGTCCATCTGAGAACCAAGAGCACGAAAAAGAAGGCATTTGAAGGAAAGCATAGTGCTTCTTGCTTTCAGATTTCTAAATTTTCTGCCATATACACTCAACATTAAGAACTTGCATTGTCGCTTCCATAGCCCCTTCTCTTATTGAAGTGTTTCTTATTCCAAACACCCAAAATAGCCAATAGTTTGAATTTAAAACCCTGCATTATAACAGGATTAAGCATATGAGTCTGTCCAGAAGTTATCCAGCCATGTAATATGAAAAAATAGAGATTTTATTGAAGAAGATACAAGATACAAGAAACATTGTACATAGAACAATGACACCTTTGTCCCCTTCAAAGTAGGCACTTTGAGACCTCACACAGTTCTCCCAGTCACCATCAGCTGCCCCATCGTATTTTCCTAAATCTCATTAACAGTCTGAAATCTCTTGCCTTTCTAAGGTGATTCTAGTTTTGGAAAAAGCCAGCAGGCTGCTAAACTGGGCTGCAGCGGGGCTGAGTCACCTGGGTGATTTGATGTTTTGCAAAAAAATTCTCCATAAGATGTGATCCATGAGTAGGTGTGTTGTCCTGATGAAGCTGTCAATCACCAGTTACCCATAGCTGTGGACTTCTGAATCATCCAGATAAGTTTCCATGGAGGAATGTTCAAGCTTAATGCAAAATTTGATGTGTATTCATTGCTCTACTCACTCAGCCATATTGAATGTGATGTCCACACAGCACACATGCTCATTCAAAGGCGTCTACCACCCCCACTGACTATAGTGCAGTGAAGTCGTCATTGTTCACACATGCACATTCCAGTCTACTCTTCTTGGCTGCCAAGTTACATTGATGTCACACAAACCATTCTCGTTATATTAACGATGACTGGACTTTTTCTGGACAGACCTCATAGTTCTAAGGCATGCTTTCATGTTCTCAGGGAATTTAAGGTTTTCAAGGAATCTTGACATCTGGACTTGATGAAATGATAATGCTTTGTCACAAACTGTGTGGATAACAGCCGACTTCCTCACACTATGGCTCATCACCTATTTTTTGTAAATAAGGTTTTATTGGAATACAGCCATGCCCATTTGTTGACATATTGTCTTGGCTGCTTTCTTGCTACAGTGGAAGAATTGAGTTATTGAGACAGAGAACATATGGCCTGCAAAGTCTAAAATATTTACGATCTGGCCCTTCTAATAAAAGTCTGCTGATTTCAGATTAGAGAATTCCCTAAGTCTATGTAGATCATGGGACAATAACTAAAGAATGACTAAACTGTTGCCCTGGCCACGTGGCTTGGTGGGTTGGAGCATTGTTCCATGCACCAAGGGTTTGTGGGTTCAATTCCTGGTCAGAGCTTGTGCCTGGGTTATAGGTTCGATCCTAATTGTGGGGTGCATGAGAGGTAACAGGTAGATGCTTCTCACTCACATTGATGTTTCTCTCTCACTCCCTTTCTCTCTCTCTCAAATCAATAGAAGCATGTCCTCAAATGCAGATTTAAAAAAATGAATGTTGAAATAGGTGTAAACATATACAGATGCAAAACTGTAAATAATACCAAGTTCTGATGCAAATATGAAAATACTCTGACAAATTTTAAATCTGCTCCCAGTATGTATCTATATATTCTAACTCTTCCCAAAAGTTCCAGGCCTAGTTGGTTTTATGAGTGATTTCTGTTCAACTTTTAGGTTACATGAAATGTTTCAGACCCCAGAAAAATATGGAAAGTTTCCCAAAAAACACTTTGTGGGACTTGTATACATTTGATTGCAAAAACTTGACAAATAGAGCATAAAAGAGAAAACTACAGGCCAATCTCATGTAAAAATTTAGGTGCAAAGAGCCATTGAAGTATTAGCAAACAGAATCCAGCAATGTATTAAATCTCATTTGATACTTATTTTTAATGTAATAAATTAGTTACTTTTCAATGTAGTAAATGCAGTAACTTGACAAAATTCAACTAATACCTAAATCTTCCATCAAAAATCAAGGCAAACTATATTTAATTATAATATAGTAATTATATTAATTAATACAATAACATATTTAAATACATTTTAATATATTTATATATTTAATTTCATTCATTGATCGCCACATTCTAGGCATCTAGTGATATTTACATCCCTGAACTAAACTCGAGGTCTGGGTTAGAATCCCACCTCATCACGGGTAGTTACATAACCCAACTGAGTCATTGGCCCTCTTGGTGCTTTAGGTAAAATAAACAGGTTGTACTCTCTTCTCCAGAACTTGGCTGCCAGGTTTCAATTAAGGACAAATAGTTTCCAGGCCATGTTCTGGTTGTTTTATTAGTTAAATAATTTTAATTTAATCTAAGCAATAGAGAGGATGAAGCTTGAACAAATAGTTATGAGTGGCAGAAGCATTTTTACAAATGTTTTATGTTCTCATTTTGATTCAAAAAGTGGCATGCAACTTGAATATGTGTGTTTGTGGGAATAATTGTGCAGCAACACCAAGAAAGAGAACAATGGATTGTGAAATGAAGAAAAGAGCCCTTCAGACACAGATCTTTCTTTTTCTTCCTAGATCTTTTCAGCTTCACAAAAGGAGACATATTTTCCATATAATTGCTAAGCATGTTTGCTTATTAAATTATTCTTTAATTAGCTAATGACTTTAGCCATGCTTTGCTCTTTGGATATTCATTTTGTATAATAAAATAATTATAGATAATTAAACTATCTCAAGCCTTTTTCTTTCCCCCAGCAAACATGCTGGGTATCCAAAAATGACAGCAAGTTGTAAATTAATCTGGAAAATTAAGCATGACAGATGAATTATTTGGTTGGAATTAATTAGACACTAATTATATACTGGAACTAGATGAAGAATGAGATTTATTACAAAAAATAAAGCACTACTCTGAGAAGATACACAGTAACCAATATCCTTACCTTCTGTGATGATGGAGTTGTTTCTTATCCAAGCCAGGGCCTTCAAGCAGTCTTCTTCATCATTGAGAGTAAAATGATTACAAGGAATTTTACCAGTGTATCGCTGCTTACTGCTGTTTGGAATCTCTCTGTTTGTCAGGTGTTGACTAATATCGGCTCCTGTAGGGCATGGAACCTGAGGTATGTTACAGACACATGCTTATTTCAGTGGTAACAGGTGAAGCACTGACATAATCAATCAATCAATCAACCAATCACAGCAATGTCTAGTATAAGCATGCCTTTTTCTGTCTCCAGATAAAATTTTTTTAATTGAAACAAAGAAGCAGGATGAGCACTTAAAGCCAATTAGCAGGAGTTGCTTGATTACATGATGCTGTGTAACAAGTTATTGTATTTTACCGTGTATAATGCACTCCCACATATAATGCATGTCCATGTTTTTGTGCTCATTATTGATGGGGATTATTATACATATGGTATGTAATCATTATACCCATGTGTAATGCGCATCCTTAATTTTCCCTCAAAAATTTGGGCAATAAGTGTGCATGTGTACATGGCAAAGTTCAATATTCTAAAAGTCAGTGGTGCAAAACAAGCTTACATATTCTGAAGGTCAGTAATTTGGATAGGGCAAGGAGGGGGACTGTTTGTTTTTGTTAAGTAATGTCAGAAGACTCAGTGGAGGTTAGGGGCTGGAATCACCTGGAGATAAACCATCTCAAACCTTTTTCTTCCCCCCAGAAAATATGCTGTGCATTCAAAAAATGACAAAAAGTTGACATTATATGTCTAGCAGCTGATATTGGCCATGGGCTGGGATCTTAGCTGGGGTTGCTGGCTGGAACAACCACATGTGGCCTATCCATGTGGTTTGGGCTTCCTTACAACATGGTGGCTGAATTCCCCAGATATGTGTCCTGAGGGAAAAAACCAGTCCAGAGAGTTCCGTGTTCTTGTCTAACCTCATCTTGGAATCTGAGTGGTGACTTCCACCATATTATATTCATGGAGGTGGTCATAGAGGCCGGCCCAGGGCAAGAGAAGGGAACCAATCTATCTCTTCATGCAGGGGCAACAAAGCTGTGAAAGAACACATGGAACTGGAGTGGTGTGGCCATTTTTTGGTAAAAAGGTGCACAGAAGCAATTATATCAGGGTTTGAAATCCAAGTGCATATGGAGTTTGGGCAGAACAGAGAATGAGAAAAGTGAACTACTAGTTACTTATGAAAATTATAGGATTATTCTTCACTTTGTTAGAGAGGTACTCTCTCACCTCCATTTCTCTCTCAATACAGAGCCTCTAAGTATAACTTCTTTTCTTACTTTTGACAGAGAGTGGAAACAGACACTATAAGAAAAGCAACAGTAAAAACACAATAAAGGATGATGCTGACACTTGTCCCCAGTGCCAAGGACACTGTGGCAAATTGAGGGGCTTTTTTGTCGATCAGAGAGTTTGGCCAAGACAACTCCATCCAGTTGATGCCAGGATAGAATATGGATTCAGCATGGCCAGATCTGATTTCTCAAGAAATGTTACCTTTTTTTTTAGTGGACTCTTTGATTTTTTAAAAATTATTTCAATTCAAATTAAAATCAAACAACAAATACCACATGAAAGCCAAGTAAAATAGCACAGTTGTGTGAGTTTGAGCAGTGGCCATCACTTTTACCATTGATTTTTATTTGGTGGCCAGGTGGAGAGTATGTGGAAGATAACGAGGCCAGCACTGCGAGAAAGTATTGAAGGCAACTTGAGGCCACTGTTGGAAGATCTGAACCAGGTGTTATACATTCTCTGTACAAGGTCTCAGGGCTGTGAGGCAGGGGTGGTTCTCAGCTCTGATGAGCAAAAAGTTCAAGGGATTGAGATGAATATATGTGCAGAGGAAGATCTTTTGTCTTGACAAATGCCTTGTTATACTGGGTAGATGTGAATGCTGGCTGGTGCTTGAACAACTGGGGGCTTTACTAAAACCCAGGTGACAATTAGGAAAGTTTTTGATTATGTTCTTCCTTAATAGAAATTGTAAAGCCATGATATAGTACTGTAATGTACTTATATCCATTTCAAATTGGATTAAATATTTTTTAAAAATCTATTTTAAAAGCTGATGCCCCTTCTCCATGAAGAAGCTGCAGTAACACTTTATTTAATAAAAAATAAAACCCAATCCAATAAGTAGAGGTCATTTACTGCAACTGAAATCGTGGAGGTAAAATTCTCTTATTAGCAATATAATATGCTTAGCCATAATCACACTAAGACTTCGGTATTATTGTGTTACAATAATACCAAATTATTGTATTTTGGTATTATTGTTTTACAATAGTTATTGTAAAAACATTCCACTGAGGGCTTTGGTGAGTTAGCATCATTCTAATCCCAAAACCAGATAAAGACACTATAAAGAAAGAAAACTACAGGCCAATATCGCTGATGAATATAGATGCTAAAATCCTCAACAAAATATTGGCAAATTGCATTCAGCAACACATTAAAAAGATCATACACCATGATCAAGTGAGAATCATCCCAAGGATACAAGGATGGTACAATATTCACTACAATCAATAAAGGTAATATATCACATAAATAAAAAAGACCAAAATCACATGATCATATCAACAGATGCAGAAAAAGCATTTGATAAGGTACAGCATCCATTTGTGATAAAAACACTCAGCAAAGTGGGAGTAGAGGGACCATACCTCAACATGACAAAGGCCATACATGAAAAACCTACAGCCAACATCATACTCAATGGGCAAAAACTAAAAGCTTTCCCACTAAGATCAGGAACACAACCAAGATGTCCACTTTCATCACTTTTATTTGACATAGTATTGGAAGTCTTAGCCACAGTGATCAGACAGGAAAAGGAAATAAAAGGCACCCAAATTGGAAAGCAGGAAGCAAAACTGTCATGGTTTGCAGATGACATGATAGTGTACATAGAAAACTCTGTAGACTCCACCAAAAAACTACTCTGGCAAAGCAGTAGGATTCAGAAATGGAAAGCCTTTTTGTATACCAAAAATGAAATATCAAAAACAGAAATCAGGGGGAAAAATCCAATTTACTATAGCAAAACAAAAAATAAAGTACCTAGGAATAAACTTAACCAAGAAGGTAAAAGATCTGTACTCAGAAAATACATAACACTGAAGAAAGAACTTAAAGGAAGACACATATAAATGGAAGCATATACTGTGTTCATGGATTGGAAGAATTAACATTAAAGTGTCCATACTACCCAAAGCAAATTATAGATTCAACACAATCCCTATTAAAATACCAATGATGCATTTCACAGATATAGAATAAACATTTCAAAAATTTATATGGAACCATAAACAACCCCCAATAGCCACAGCAATTTTGAGAATGAAGAACAAAGTAGGAAGGATCACAATACTTGACATCAAACTATATTACAAGTCCACTGTAATCAAAACAGTCTGGTACTGGCAAAAGAACAGACACATAGATCAATGGAAGAGAAGAGAGAGCCCAGAAATAAACTCATGAGTCTACGATCAGTTACTATTCGATAAAGGGGGCAGAAGCATAAAATGGAGAAAAAAATAGCCTCTTCAACAAATTATGTTGGGAAAGCTGAACAGCTACATGCAAAAAATTGAAATTCGACCACCAGCTGACACCATACACACAAGTAAATTCTAGGTGGATAAAAGACTTAAATATAAATCATGAGACCATAAAAGTGCTAGAGGAGAACATAGGGAGAAAACTCTCAAATATTCCATGCAGTAATATTTTCACCAATATGGCCCTTAGAGCAAGGGACATAAAGCAAAGAACAAACAAATGGGACTACATCAAAATAAAAAGCTTCTGCATGGCTAAAGAAAACAGCAGCAAAATGAAAAGCAAACCAACTGTATGGGAAAATATATTTGCCAATGATATCTCAGACAATGGTTTGATCTCCAAAATATATAAAGAACTCACATGACTCCACTCCAGGAAGATAATCCAATTAAAAAATGGGCAAAGGACCTGAGCAGACACTTCTCCAAGGAGGACATACAGAGGGCCCAGAGACATATGAAAGGATGCTCAGCATCACAAGCCATCAGAGAGATGTAAATTAAAACCACAATGAGATACCACTTCATACCAGTCAGAATGGCCATCATAAACAGATCAACAAACAACAGGTGCTGGCGAGGCTGTGGAGAAAAGGGAAACCTAGTACATTGTTAGAATGCAGACTAGTGTAGCCACTGTGGAAAACAGTATGGAATTTCCTCAAAAAACTAAAAATGGAACTGCCTTTTGACCCAGCAATTCCATTGCTGGGATTATACCCTAAGAATCCTGAAACAACAATTCAAAAGAACCTTTGCACCCCAATGTTCATAGTAGCACAATTTATAATAGCCAAGTGCTGGAAGCAACCTGTGTCCATCAGTAAATGAGTGGATCAAAAAACAATGATACATTTACACAATGGAATACTACACAGCAGAAAAAAGGAGCTACTACCCTTTGCCACAGCATGGGTGGAACTGGAGAGCATTATGCTAAGTGCAATAAACCAGGCAGTAAAAGACAAATACCATATAATCTCAAGTATAAGTGAAACATAATAAACAAAACAAAGAAGAGAGCAAAATAGAACCAGAGATACTGAAATAAAGAACAAACTGACAGTAACTAGAGGGGAGGGGAGAGGAGCATAATGGGGTAAGAAGGGGAAAGGTTGTCAAGGAATGATTTATGAAGGACCCAAGGACAAAGCGAAAAGCAGGTAGGATTGAGGGTCAGAGGTGGATGTGTATGGGGTGGAGGAAAGTGGTGGTGGGAAAATGGAGACAACTGTACTTGAACAACAGTAAAAGAATTATATTTAAAAGAAAAAAATGAAAAAAGAAGTACACATTATTGAATACTATGTTTTGGAGGTTTGAAAATTCACCTGAATTACAATAAGCATTGTAGTATAAAAGAAAATGAAATTTGGGTAACATTATACCAGTTTAGTAAGTCATGATTTAATGAATTAGGAAAACTCCTTGACAGAAGAAAATGGCAGAACTAAAGAACAAATTGAGAGGCATTCAAGTTATAAAATTTCAATGGTTTGTGTTTCAAATAATGGGTGTATAGATTAAGTAACAAGGAGGAGATGGAGAAATA